ATGGGCGTCGGCACGACTGAATATGCGCACATGCCAATCATACCCGCCAGTCGCCTTGGAAGTACGATGAGGGGAAGGCGGACCAGGAGTGAGATCAGTGTTGACAAACAGATCGTGCCGGCCATGGTGTAGGTCGCGTGACTGAGAGAGGCTTGGACCACCGTTCTAGCCGCGGGCGCAGGTACGCTGTTGCGGTGGAAGTACCATTGAGATACCGTGGCTGCCGTCGTGGCGCGTTGCACACCCGCAATGACCGCCAAACCCCAGAAAAAGTCCAGGAAGAATACAACACCAAGCCACCACGTACTAGCATCGATGATCCATCGGGACTTGTTGCTAGCAAAATGGCCGCCAAGGAATAGACGTGTGAACATGAGGATCCATATCCACGCCCAGAGTATCACAGCAGCTAGTGTTGCAATACCCACGAGTAGCAGTGGGAATTGCGCTCTCAGGATCTCACTTGAGAACTCCAACATGCCTGTAGCTTTGTCTAGAGAATGTCGTGCCTTGAAGATGGTGTACACCCAGAACCCAGCGAAGCACAAGGGCCCAAACGAAAGCCAGCGCATCAGCCGGTCTTGTACGCTATCGCCATGCCATGACCCTTTGAAGCTTGATGCGAAAGGGTATACAAAGAAGGAAAACGATATCACTGGTACCGCCAGTAACATTAATTGCACCAAGGGCCGAGCGAAGGACCGAAGTAGCGATAGCCATAGGACTCCGACGATGACCGAAACCAGTGTGTACACACCAATGAGGTGGAACGACGAATGCAGGACAGTATATATCGTGTCGCCCAGTGGGTTCTTCTTGCCCGGTGGCGACTCTTGGAGAAAAGAGATGATCCATGTGCCAAAGATGGCACACTGCACGATTATGAAGAGCTCAGCCCAGAAGAAGTTGTGTCGTGGCGCCGATGTGGGGTTCTCTGGTACGTCGTCGGGAACGGTCTGGCGATCCGGACTTATTGGACGTGGGTGTTCGAGCAGAGTGTCTTCGTCTGTTTCCTGTGGTATCGGTAGGGTGTTTCGTAGTGGGCTGCGACCGCGCTTCGGCCTCGGCATGTTGCGAAACTGTTGGAAGGGTGGCGGTGGTTCGTCCTGGTGACCCAGGAGCTCGTCTCGGTCCAACTCTTCTATGCTCCCCCGATCTGTTGAATCAAGCTCCACATCTACGAGGTGGCCTCTCCCTCTGCTGCTGCGGTCTGTAGTCTCAGAGAGCGGTACACTTGACTCTCTTTCCTCGTCTTCTGGGTTGTTGATAACGGTCGATCTCCCACGTGCTGGCTTGTCGCCCTTCCAGGAGCTCTTAATCCCTCTCCCCAGACCATACCCTGGAGCTTCATTCTCGTCCCTGTCCGCACCTATGGTATGATCGGACCGTTGGCCATGTTCGTCATCGACTTCAGATGACTCGGATAGATTGCTTGCGCCAAACTGCCGCCGCGAGCGTTGCAGCGCGTATTGGTCTGCTAAGTCCCTGTCGTGCTCAGCATGGTCGTCCTCCTCGCGAAAGTCATCGGTGGCGGAGTAGAAGAGTGGCGCGGGCGCGTTGGACGTTCGTGAAGCGAAGGCAAAGCGGCTCATGGCCTGTGAGTTGTATGGGTTGGGCATGTTGCGACGCTGGAGGTAGGCTTGGGAGGCGCGTGAGGACGGGCGCTGCCTGTCGGGGGCGTTGCGGGTTGAAGTCGGCTCGGGCTGGCCCAGTGACAGCCGCGACTGAGACTGGGAGAGGAACTTGGATGCATCTGGGGAGCACGCACGTCAGTCACGCGAGTCCATAAGCTGCTCAAGACACAGGCGGCGGATCTGTCACATGTACCCGATAAGGCACCAGGTCCACTTACATTCAGAGAACATGATAGATATAGTGCGCGATAGATGTATATATGCCTATTGAGCTCGGCGATGGCGGCCAGGTATATCTATCGCGAGGAAAGTCCCGAAGCGAAGGTGGCTCAGGTGCGAGGTCAGCGGTCGTGAGGCGGTCGAGCGCAAGGGTACCGGAGTACAAGAGGCAGCCGCGGATGACGCAGCCTAAGAGACATGCAGCTGGGGGCCGGCAGAGTGCGCAGTGGCCAGCTGGAGGTGGTAGAGATGGGGTTGGTAGGGCGGTAGCAATAGGACAGCAGGGAGCTCTAGCCCGCCTAGGTGGTGAGTGAGTTGAGTGGCTGGCCGGGTGCGCTGGACTGATGGTTGCTCATCTCATCATCGTGCCAAGCCAGCGCGTCGGGTTATCGATTGTCGGGCTCACGTACCTCGTGAACATGCAAGGCACGCGCTATTCCTTAGCCCCCAGAACCGCTCCACCTCACATGCAAAGCATTCGGTAAACTTGTCTCTACGGGTCTGCAGACAATTTTATCTTCTTTAGTCGTGCTCTTCTCGAAGTAATTTTGCCTTCGTAGTGGCCGCCCGAGTCAAGGCACTCCGATCTCATGTTTGTCAGCCTTATGTTTCATAGTGGCAATCAATCAAAGCTACAGAGAAAAGCAATATGAATGCGGCCAAAGCTTGCGCAAAGTAAGTTGCGACATGCTTTTCACGTTTGCCATGGGTTGCATCCTTCAACTGTGGCTCAAGCAGCTGCCGAGCTATGACCGCATGGCTGGGACCCTGACCTATCTCAGTCACTATCGTCCAACTGGCTTCCTGTTAAACACACCCAAAGCTTCGACTTGCGAACTACTTTATTCTACATACATTCTGAACAATAAATACCGTCTTCCTATACATATCCATCTACCTCTACTGGATTTGCTGTGACCTCCGCCCTAAGCCTGCACCTCAGGTCGACTGCTACACCAGCCACACGGCGTCACAAAGCACCATGGCGCAGCCTTGGGACTACATAGCGAAGATCGTATCGTTAGGCGATTCAGGATGTGGTAAATCAAGTGTATGCGACACCATCCCCGTTACCCAGGGCCTCCATGCTAACGCCTCCCAGCTAACAGTCCGCCTCTGCGAAGGCCGCTTCTCACCACACCACGACGTAACTATCGGCGTAGAGTTCGGATCGCGCATCGTCCCTGTCGGCCCACCAGCGTCGCATTCCCTGAGCATCAATAACCCCTCCAAATCCTCACAAGCACAAGCGCCCGTATCGCCGTCGAAACAAAAGCAGGAGCAGAAGCACATGAAGCTTTCGCTATGGGATACAGCAGGCCAGGAGACGTACAAGAGCATCACGAGAAGTTATTTCCGGGGCGCATCGGGCGCGCTGCTAGTATTCGATATATCGCGGAAGAACACGTTCCTCTCCGCCACGTCATGGTTGCACGACTTGCGGCAAATCGCCGAGGAGGGCATCGTCGTGGTGCTCGTGGGCAACAAGTCTGATCTCGCGGGGTCGTCTACCGTAACTGATTCGGACGCCGCGAACAAGCGACAAGTCACAAAAGAAGAGGCTGAGGAGTGGTGTAAAGCGAATGGCGTCATGCAGTACGTCGAGACGAGCGCCAAGAGCGGAGAGGGTGTGGAACAAGCCTTTTTGGAAGTCGCAGAGCGGATATACCAAAATATAGAAGCTGGCAAGTACGACTTGAACGATCGAAGGAGTGGAGTCAAGGGGCCGGGAGGCGGAGCGAATAGGGCGGGCGTCAACCTGAATGACGCGAGTAAAAAGGGAAAGCAACAGGGCTGGGGCGGGTGCTGCTAAACTTCGGTATATACTGATTTGGGTCAGACCATCGTGCCTATGGGTACATTATGTTGGCATACATCGTTGGACGTCAACAGAGCAGTGGTCAGCTCGTACATAGCGTTATTGTAATGAATCTATTATCGCTTCAGCGGGTACGTTGCCCCGGCCAGAGATCGCGGTCGTGCTAATCATTCTATTATCCAATAACTTTTTCGTTCAAACTTTTGAGGTGTCTCGTTGTGGGCTCTGACCATAACCGCGACCATAACCACAACTGAACAGGTGCTCTGAAGCCTACATTACTACAACAACGTAAGGTTTGAGACATATTAAGGCAATGTAGCCCTATCAAGTTTTTTTATTTTGGATACACACCGTAAAATATGGCTGTCCAGCTTTTCGCTTGGGAGTACCGTGGTATTGCAATGACCAATCGCCAACAAGGCATTCACAATTTGCCATCGTAGTACTGTGGTAGCCGATCTCGTAAACCAAGGTACATTATCTACAATCAGCATGAAAAAAATCATCTGGAGTAGTATAAGATGAATGGCACTTTCACCTTCGTTTCTTCTTCAAACTCACTACAACTCATACAAAGTCACACAGACTTACACAGATTTACAGAACATTACACAACTTAACACAGACCCAGTACATCTTGGAAACGATGCGCTTCCTAGTAGTGTTCCTCCTCTGGCTCAGCACCATAGCTGCCGCTTTCCCAGTTGGCTCTCACGTCGTCCACGAGAAGCGAGAGGCGGACCCGATAGGTTGGGATAGAGACTCACGTGCATCAAGGGATGCAGTACTGCCGGTGCGAATCGCGCTGAAGCAGCAGAACCTGAAGCATGGCGAACTCTCACTCCAAGATATGCATAATCGAACCTCACCCAATTTCCGTAATGTAAACCTGAACTCGTCGTTTGTGTGGTATACTTACATATCGTATAGGAAAGCGCTGGACGGCCGAGCGAGTCCACAGTACATTTGCGCCTCATCCAACAACGACAAACGCGACTCTCGACTGGCTCCATGCAGCTGGAGTCGAGGACAGTCGCATCACGTTCTCAGCTAGTATGTCATAAACTATCGTGCCCGAGCATAATGAGAACTGACAATACGTAGGACGGGATTGGATCATGTTCCTAGCCACTGTTGGTGAGGTTGAGGACCTATTTCATACGGAGTATTACGACTTCCATGAAAAGGAATCCGGCGGTCTTCGCATGGCATGCGATAACTACAAACTTCCACAGCACGTTCGCGAACATGTCGACTACATCACGCCCACAATACAGCTCGACGGCTTACGTCCAATGGCTCATGTACAAACAGCGACGAAGCCCATGGCTGTTGCTGATCATGTCACTGCCCATGGTGGTGCGGGTGACCTGTCGACCTGTCACATTTTTTTTACTATCCATTGCTTCCGCGCTCTGTACGGCGTTCCCGTTGCCAGTCACAACAATACCGGAAATGAGCTTGGTATTATCGGGCTTGGTAACTATCTCTATGCTCCAGACTTCAAAGAATACTTGAGAAACTGGACGTCCCCTCGGATTCCCCTGGATGTTGAGCCAGAATCCGTCTACGTTTACGGTGGCAAACCCGGAGATCTGTCTCTGGCAGAAGCTGACAAGACAGGTGAGACTGCTTTGGACGTTCAGGCCTCGACATCCATCATCTACCCTCAAAAGGTACGATTCTATCAAATTGGCCCGTCGAAGTGGATGAACGATTTCGATTTATTTCTGGACGCGTTGGTGAGTATCTTGCTATCTTCCACGTGACGCAGCAACAGCTAACGTAGCTAGGATCCTACATACTGTACCTACCCGGGCGGCAACGAGGAGTACCTTGGCCCGGGATTCCCCGAATACGATGAAGGAGAAGGCACAAAGAACATACCATGCGGAGGTGCGCCAATGAGCAACGTCATCTCCATCTCATACAGCTATTTGGAGAGCCAGCTCTCTCGTGTTTACCTTGAACGCCAATGTCACGAGTACATGAAGCTGGGGTTGCAAGGCGTCACCATCGTTGCCGCATCAGGAGATATTGGCGCTGGGTCTTCCGACGAGCAGTTCGCACCATCATTCCCTTGCACATGCCCTCATGTAAGCATCCACTCATTCGTCCTTTCAATCTCCTTTTGCAGCTATACTCATCTCCAACAGGTCCTCTGCGTCGGCGCCACAACATTGCAAGATGGTACCATTGCCGGCGGCGAAATGGCAGCCACGTTTTCCGGCGGTGGATTTTCCAACGTCTTTCCCCGCCCAAGCTACCAGGACGACGCTGTCTCGGGCTGGCTTTCCAACTCAGCACCAGCATACGGAGAAGGGCGCTATAATCGCTCAGGTCGCGCATACCCAGATGTCGCAGTCATTGGCGTCAACTACCCAGTAGTGATTCTCAATACCACGAGACCTGTGAGTGGTGCGTCGGCTTCTGCACCCGGCTTTGCCAGCATGATCAATATGATCAATGAGGAGCGATTGGCGGATGGCAAAGAACCACTTGGCACTTTGAACTGGGACATATACGACAATCCGGAGATATTCAATGATATTCTTGTGAGATATAATCCGGGAGGCGGTATGGATGGCTTCCCAGCGGGTCCGGGATGGGATATGGCTTCGGGACTCGGGAGTCCGCAGTATGAGAAGATGCGGGAATTGTTATTGTCAGATCTGTAAGAGAGCATGTCGGTGGATGCGGTGAAAGATGCCGAGCCAGAATTGCATGATTTTCTGTAGCAGTACGATGCCTTCTTCGGCATCGTGTCCTTACCCGCGAGGAAAACAACACTTGGAATCAAACATTTCGCATCCCCCTTTCCGTCCCTCCCATCTCTTTGAGTCCGACTCCGTAGAGGCTTGCGCGTTCTTCAATAGCGTCGCCAAGATCGTTCGATCACGATACGCGTACTCGTGGGGTTGATTAACTTTCGCCCAACGAACCTCCAAAACTTAACAAAGCAAAAACCGTAACACGCAGCGTGCACACATCGAGATGTTGTCATGAGAGGATGCGGCATCCTCCACGGACTAACGCCCACGTTTCAATATCCCCGTCATATGATTCGCGAACAGGCCCTTTTGCGCTGATACCATGCCCAGGTGACCGTCTCGAGCGGCCATGACCTGGCGAAAAGCAAATGAGTACATTACTGAGCTGGGGTCTAGCCGGCCCGCTAAGCTCGCATCGAACTCTTCTGCCGAGAGAGGTATTCTCCGGACTACCCCCATGGCATGGACCAGCTGGTCTCCATGGTGGCTGCCCGGGAAGAAGGTGCAAGGTCGCTACTGCCTTCCTTCTAGGACATGCGGCTTGTGGAACCTGGAAATATCCATGACAGCCCGGACCGTGGACGTGGGTCGCTGCGAGGGTTATCTTCGGGCTTGTTAGTGATGTTGCGATTTCCGGTGGAGATTAGGACCGCGTCGCAAGGTCGCATCCCCACGCCCACAGCTGGTCGTCTCTCGGATTGTGCGAAAGCAGTACTACCGGTGGCAGTTGAGACGCTACTGACGCGGTACAGGTAGCGCGGAAAAGCTAAGAAAGTTCCGTTGGGCGGTCGGTATGCTTAGGGCCTAGGCTAAGGACGATCTGATAGCTGCAACGCAGAGCTATGGCGGGGATGATGTGCCGTGCAACAGCATGCATGAGGCTCAGCTGCAGGCCGCAGATCCTTTTGGTGGCCGTTGGACAGGATCCTCGCAGAAGGACAAGTCGGTGAACGAGTCATGGGGGGATCCAGAATCGAAGAATCTGGAAACGAGGAGGCGAGGCGGAGGGCATCGTCTCAACACGGATACGATGGCGGTCTCGACATGTCCAATTCGCATGGGCGTCGGGATAACCCCCAGCCCCGAACTTCGACCCGCTACCCCAGGTGCATAGATAGCCAGGCTGACAGCGGAGGCCATGCGCGCGGGTTGTAGTCGCCACGACGATGGACGTTGGGGGTTGCTGCATTATTGCCAAGGTGGATGAAGACGCGGTCTGGTCGATGCAAGATGCAAGCCTTGCGTCGGCGACGCAGCCGACATGCTTCCAAGCGTCGGTGTTCCTGGCGGACCGCACCCCCCACGCAAGCCGGCGGCGGTGAGGTTCTGGTGGACGCAAGCCACAGCCTTTTCAGTAGTCCCTTGAACATCCTTCACCTAGCACGCAATAGTTGTGCACCTCGCACAAAATCGCCTGCCAACAGGCACTACGGCGCAATTGTGGCTCCCCCATCTGCGAGCGGAAGCGGGAGCGCAAAGTCTGAAACCCCTGTCCAGTCTAAAAACTGGGTCTTGTGTAGAGACGCGTCAGGGCAAAAAGTTTGAATCTATTCGGGGTGTGTCGTGAAGTTGCCCAGGTGTTGCGGCTCAGTTGGGGCGTTTTGGCGTTTTGGCACGCACCACCAGGCCGCGACGTACACAACACAATGCAAGCCGCAGCCTCCTTTTGCCAACCCACGTTTTCCAAAGCACAGGCTATCAGCCTGCGAGTCCCGACTCATACTGTGTAATCCACCATGTCTAGACCCTCCGAAAAAATAGGGGCCCTAATCCGACTTTTTTTGGCACCATGCTCAAGGTTCTACGCATGTGCCCACAAAAAGGATTGGGCTGACGCTTTATAAATACTAGAGCACCGTATCTCCCACTGCTCTCATCCACGTATTCCAGTATTCTCATTCCATTCTCACATTATTCTACCATGCCTCCTCAAGTCCCCAGGAACCTGCTGCGCGCCGCCCGCGCCCGCGCTGTTTTCCAGTCCACTAGGCCCTCCCGCCCTGCTGCCATCAGGTTCCAGAGCTCCGAGGCCGTTCGCCGGACACCTGAAAACAACAACGTTTACAACGCCCCTCCCAGGACATCCTCCCAACGGAAGGAGGAGAAGTTTACCGCTGGCACCACCACATCTCAGCGCCAAACACCCGCAGCTCCCCTCAAGCTCAGCAGCAAGAACCTCTCCCAACTCCAGAATGTCGCTGTCCCCACCTACCAGCGTGAGGGCGTCAAGCAAGGCATTGTCCACGTTGGTGTTGGTGGTTTCCACCGAGCCCATCTTGCAGCCTACGTCGACACTCTTCTCGAGCAATTCGCCGTAAAGGACTGGTCCATCTGCGGTGTTGACCTTCAGCCATTCGCTGCTCCCATGCGCGATGCTCTGAAGCCCCAAGACAACCTCTACACCATCATCGAGCGTGCCGCTGAGGGTACTACTGCCCGCGTTTGCGGTTCCATCACCGACTACCTCTTTGCTCCCGACAGCGCTGAGGCTGTTATTGCCAAGATGGCTCACCCCGACACCCACATCGTTTCCATGACTGTCACCGAGAGCGGTTACTACATGAACGAGAACACCCACCAGCTCCAAACCGACCACCCAGATGTTGCCGCCGACTTGGCTGGTGAGCAGCCACCCCGCACTGTTTTCGGTTACCTCTACGCTGCCATGGAGAGGCGCCACGCCGCTGGTCTCCGACCCTTCACCGTTCTCTCCTGCGACAACATGCAGAAGAACGGTGACATCAGCCGTAACATGCTGGTCTCTTTCGCCCGCCATCAGAACCCTGAGGTCGCCGACTGGATCGCCAACAACGGTGCCTTCCCCAACTCCATGGTCGACCGTATCACTCCCCGTACCAACGACGAGGACAAGGTCAGCCTAGCCGAGAACTTCGGTGTTGAGGATGCCTGGCCCGTTGTCACCGAGCCCTTCCACCAGTGGGTTCTCGAGGACAAGTTCGTCGACGGCCGCCCACCTTTCGAGAAGGCCGGTGTCCAGATCGTTCCCGACGTGCACAAGGTCGAGGAGTACGAGATGATCAAGCTCCGCCTCCTTAACGGCAGCCACTCCGCAATGGGATACGCCGGTCAGCTCGCTGGCTTCACCTACATCCACGAGGTCATCGGCCACCCCGTCTACCGCCAGTTCGTCATCAACATGATGAACCAGGAAGTCAAGCCGCTCCTTCCCCAGATCCCCGGTGTCAGCGTCGATGACTACATCAACACCCTCCTGGGCCGTTTCTCCAACCCCACCCTTAAGGACGAGCTTCCCCGTATCTGCCTTGGTGGCTCCGGCAAGATCCCCCAGTTCATCATGCCCAGCATTGCTGAGCAGATCGTTGCCAACGGACCTCTCCGCCGCCTCACTCTCGTAGCCGCCGCCTGGTTCCGCTACAACAGCGGCATCGACGACGCCGGCAAGGCCTTCACCGTCGACGACCCCATGGTCGAGGAGCTCCAGTCCTACGCTGCCCAGGGCCCCATGGCCCAGCTTGAGATCAAGACCCTCTTCGGTAACGATCTCCGTGACGACAAGCGCTTCGTCTCTGAGCTCAAGGCCGCATTGGAGGGCCTCGAGCGCGAGGGCGCTCTCGCTATGATTGAGAAGTACGCTTAAATGTGCGTTAAAGAAAGAGATACCCCCAGGGCGGCAAACGTTTTGTGTCGCTTTCAACCAGGCTTCAGGTCTTTACTTTTTGGCATTGCATGCGAAGCATATAGATGATAGATGGGTTTTCTACTGGCGTTTCCCAAAAAAGAAAGTGTTATACTGAGCGTTTTTATATAGCATTTTAATTACAGCCTTTGATCGTTAAACCATTCTTCCTCTTGAATATGAGCTATATTGTTGATTTTCCCACACTATCCAGGTACTCGAAAAAAGCGTTCCTCACAATTCACCTCCCCAGCCTCCAGGCGAATATCACAATGACCCACAACAAACACCCACAAAAGAGCGGTGTCTGGCATGATTGCTGTCAAACTCGCATTCCCCATCTTTCCACCCCTCAACCAAAGATCTTCCTCACGCGAAGGAAGCCGCGGAGAACCCATGACGTCAGCATGACCAGCGTATGCTAATCAGCGCTCGACACCGCAAATGTGCTTGCTGCAGGCCGGCTGCATCCTTATCTCCACGCTACCCATCGCCCTTTCCTCAACAACATTTTCGTCCGGTCTATCAATCGACTCTTTCAGCTCTTCGTACCTTCCTTAGAAGATCAAGTTCGCCGCGACAAAAGCTGGTCGCCTGTATCCACTATGATTACACAGATGACGATATATTCGCCTCTTGCGGGGCAACTGCAGCGAGCTTGGGGTGGAGTGGTGGAGTGGTGGAGTTCCTCGCGTAGGGAAGGGACTTGTTGCTGCATGCTGCAGAATGGGCTGAGATTGCGAGCCGGGATTTTCTGGACCCTGTGTTGACGGCGCTAGGCTAGCCGCAGTGCCGCTAATGTAGAGGTCCCACTGCGCCACTCGTGTTTTCTACGCGCCAGTTCTTGTCGCGTACAGTTTCCTTCGGCTTGCCGAGTTGCGCCACTGGAGTCGTTTCGCTTTTACTATCGTTCGTTTCTATTCTTGCGCGCTCTAGTTCTGATGGCCTCTTGTCGCTTTCACCGGGAGCTGCGCTAGCCCTATGCCGACTCTGCCTGCGGATGGTACGCCTTGTATACTTGTATGGCACCCTCGATGCTTTGCACCAGCCCGAAGAAGAGGGTGAGACCTATCGCCACAATCGCTATCCAGGAATTGAGCCAGTGATCGCCTTTCTTGCTGTCTTTCAGGGCTTTTAGCAACGCCTTGGACGTTGGCGTGGCTTCCTCGACTGCTTCCCCTAGTAAGACCAACCGATCACGCCAGAACTGGAATCGATCCAGGCGCCTGGATGGATGCCCAGGTCGATA